ACCCCCAAAGAGAAACAGTGAGGGTGGAGGGAGGAGAGCACCATCCATAGTTTGTGATCATTTTGATAAGGTTATAGGGACCGATGAGAAGTGTAGAGCCATATGCAAATATTGCAAGAAAGAGTATTTGGCTGACTTTAGACTTCATGGGACTAGCAATTTGAGGAGTCATACACCCAATTATAAAGAATATCCAAATAGGGATAGAGATGGTCAACAAACATTAAATCTTAAATCAAAACAAAATGAAAAGGGAGTTGAGGTTGTAGCAACAACTTTTAATTTTGATGCTTGTAAAAGGTCTCTTACAGAAAATGGTTGTCATTGATGAGTTGTCATTTAGATTTGTGGAGGGAGTTGGGTTTAGAAGATTTTGTAATGTCATACAATCGAAATTCACACCAATCCTCTCTCGTCATACCATATCTAGAGAAGTGCTTAACATATTCAAGAATGAAAGAGATAAGTTAAAGAAGGCCATGAGGGTCGTAGAATTTGCTTTACTACGGACACTCGGACATCTATTTAGAATTTGTGTTACATGTGTTTGACTGCTCATTTCATTGATGATAATTGGAAATTTCAAAAAAGAATCTGTAGACACCCCATTTTTGACCGTCCTCAAAACTTGGACGTCATCGTTTGAACACTTGGTGATCATCCATGTTCGTGTTTGTCTTGAGTTCTCGGAGGTTTCGGTCGCGCGCCTTGCCTCAAGACCTCTTAACTTGTTTGTTTTGTGCTTGGTTGTACACCAAACACTTGTGTTTTTGCTTCTGAGGGCAGGGAATGGCTTGTTGGCCATCCCCACACCTCATCGGCCTTGGCTTGAGGCCACCGGCCCTGTTTTATTATTACCGGCCAACTTGTTTGGTCAGTCGGCAATGTTTTTGGTCGGCCAGCCATTTGTGTTGGTCAATCGGCCATTTCTGCTGGCCGACCCCTATTCATCTGCTTTATGCAGATATTTAGTGCCAGCTGGCACAGCTGGCACGCATAATTATTCCCCTCCATACACGTGTATGGAGGGATTTGCCTCTTGTTTAGCTTCTCTTGGAAGCTTGAGGATTTGAGCCTCTATAAAGAGGGAGCCGCTCCTCCCTCCTCCAGGGTTCAGAAAAATTAGGGTTAGAGAGTGAGATATAGTTTTGTATCTATACTCCCTTGTTTGATCCTATTTTATGCCCAAAAGGGGTGTTTGTTCTTAGTTTTGCACTAAGATACCTAGTGTTACACCATCCTTGGCTTATTAAGGCTCTAAGGAGTTGTTGCTAGGGTTCTTGGGCTGGTTTTAATCCAAGGAAGGTGCTGGAGTGGTGTTCTTGAAGAGGTTCTCCAAAGGTGAGAACCTACCTTCTTTATTCTCCATTTTTGCACAAGCTTTTAGCCTATCTTGCTTATTGTTTTAAGCTTTGACTATAACTGATAAAAGTTCTGATTTTGTGTGCTTTAGAACTTTGTTTAAGGTCACTTTGAGGTTTGGGGTTGTTTCCCCCCTCCAAGGCCTTGTTAGGCCTTGTTTTAGGCCATACATTTTGGCCATTGTTTTGGTCTTTGCATGGATTTCAGTGGTAGAGAGGTGGTTTTGAGGTCCTAAAAAGGAGAGGGTCATCCCCTCTCCTTGTTGTCTTTAATGCTTGCATAAATGGTTTATGTGGTAGCATGTGTGTTTAGTTTGTTTTAGTTTCATTTCAGCATGTATTAGGCTTTGTTTTGCCATAATACACCTCTATTTTGAGTTGGTTTAGACATGCCATGTATGCTCCATACACTTGTCTTGTAATCCCATGTTTTGGCCTTAACATGCATCATGTTGTAACATGTGTTTTTAGCATGATTTTGGCTCAACTCCATGAAGCTTTTAGCCTTGTTGTAGCATGCTTAGCTTTGTTCTTCATTGTTTTGGTTATGCTTGCATTGTTTTGTATAGCTACCATGCAATCTAGCTTGTTAGCTTTGAGTGTCCAAGTTGCTAGCGTGCTCTATATGGATCATTTCAGTGGTTTGACATCACTTAGAATGTTATTTCAGCCCATATTTCATGCTTATAAGCTTACACTTATCACTCTTTTAATGTCTTAAAGAGTTTGTGTTTTATGCCTCATGAATGTGTCATTGTGTATGCCATCATGCTTAGGTCATTGGGATGCCATCTAAGTGGATTTTTGGGCTCATTTTAACATGTCCTAACTCTGTTTTGGGTTGCTTAAATCGTGCCATGTTTGGTTGTATTAGGTGTAGTGTAACACCTCTTTGATTGCCTTGCATGCCTCATGATTTTGCCCCTTTGTTTTAGCTTGTTTCGACTTTGGTCATTGCATGTTTTAGACTTACTTTGCCATGATTTAGGACTGTTTTGGGTCATACTTGCCAAATGCTCTTTGTTTTGTGTAGTTTTGGTTCAAGTCCCTCGACTAGTCTTAGGCTTCAATCTTGAGCATGCCATGTTTGACTTGTTTATGTGATTTGGCATCACTCCTAGCTTCATTTCAGAGCATGTAATGTCGTCACATTTGTATGCTTTTCATTCCTGTTAAGTGTGCTTAAAGGTTGCCCTTTTGTGCTTAAAGTGATGGGCCATTAGCATGCATGTTTGTATGTGATTTTGTCCCTTATCCCTTAGCATTTTGGCCGCTGATTTGGACCTATTCGAGAGCTGTCCATTTTGGTTTAAGTCCATCCCCGCATGTTGTTGCATGCTTTCCTTGTATGTTGTCACATACTTGTTGCATACTTGATGAATCGCATTTTGTAGCATGCTAGTTCAATTGTGCCTTGTTGTGTACTTGGCCCATAACATGCTTGTTGCTTACTTAGTATATTACATGTTGTTGCATGCTAACCCCATTGCATGCATGCCATACTAGTTTACATGTTTAGGTTGTATGCCTATTGCATATTAGTTGCATGCTTGCCTCACATGTTGTTGCATGCTTGGTTTCTTTGTGTGCTTGCTTGCATGCTTAAGTTGCATCGCATTGAGTGTGCATTCCCTTGCCTCTTGATAAACCATGATCGAGGTTAGGGTCCTTTATGTGTTTTGTGTGCATTTCATTTGACATTAAAATACACACTTGGCACCTTGGGCCGCCATGCATTGAAATGATAGAGGTTAGGGTCCTTTATGTGTTTTGTGTGCATTTCATTTGACATTAAAATGCACACTTGGCACCTTGGGCCACCATGCATTGAAATGCGTGATTGATGGCCCGAGGGTCGAGAACCATACTCCTTTGAGTCTCAAACATGATAAGGAGGAGGGTGGTGCAAACATTGCTTTGAAAATGCATCGCCATGTTCTATCTGTCCTCTGCTGCAGCAAAACAGGATTCTGCAGGAATAGATGGTCGGTCGACCATCTTCAATGCCGGCCGGCCATTAATTTTTAGCCGAGGTCCCCACAAATGGTCGGTGACCAGTTCCTCTTGGCCGGTGGCCTTGAATTTTAGCCGGTGACATCCCACAATGCTCAAGAGGTGATTCAGAAGCATCATTGATACTTGCAAAGTTTTTCAGAGGTGCAAAGCAGTGTAAATAGAGGCAGCAAGAGTATGGCGATGGATTTCTGAGTGGAGCCGAGCGTGCACGCATTCATCCCTCTTCCTGAGGCCTCTTTACTGCTTTCTTAGTTTAATTAATTTACTTAATTAGCTAAGTATTATGTAATTAATTAATTAGCTTGTTAGTTGATTAGTTAGTTATTGTATTATTTATTCGGTCCCTCCCTCGAGAGGGCGCAATTGTGTAATAACCGTGCGTGTGTGTGTGAATGTTTTCCAACCCCACGTCTTTCTCCCTTTTACTTAACCGCTTATAATGGTTAGTTCACGTTTCAATTAGCATCTTTATGCTATGCATGTTTGCATCATTTATCTGTATCGCATGCACCGGGCTGGGCGCATCATACTAATTGCATAGTATTTCAATTCCAATTTGAATACGTGTATCAAATTGTCGCATCTCATATGCCACTTCAGATTAGCCGAGCCTATTCTAGTTGCATTTTGCCTGCGATGCATTAGCCATCTTAACATGGACTTGGATCATACATTTGATTACTAACATGTTCTTGTTTTGGCTCGGAGTACACTCTGAGTATTTATGCTTTAGCATCTTGCATGTGTATAAATGTTGACATGAAAGCATGCTTACCATGAGGCTAATTGCTTATGTGATAAAATTGCCTGAATGCCTATGGGTGAAGGTTGGATTGCTTGAATTGGAACAATTCATTGAAATCTGTGTTTTAGCCTACTCGCGAGTAGCAAACCTCAAACCATTTTCTAAACAAACGGATATGCGATGTTTTGTTCCAAATTAGGTGACCTAGTCTATACTTATGTGTTGTGCGCATCACATAGTAAGATTAGCTAATTAATCGGAATAAGAACACATATGTTTTTAAAACTCGATATCATGGTTAGTAGAGGCTGATCTTCGGATTGGGCGAGTGGGGGTGCTCATAGATGACCTTCCCCAATCGTATCCAAGTTCCCGAGTCGAGGCAACTTTGGTGATGACGGACACGTGGCCTTAGGCAATAAGTCAGGGTTTCCTAAATTCCCCCAAAATAAATATTTAGGTGGCACTTCTTTCTTAAAAGTCTGTTTTCCAAAACGATTTGCCGGATTTGGACTCTTTAGTGATTTATCAGTCTTGCATTGCACATTGCAAGATCAGATTAAGAACCGTGGCTAATGAGTCCGAACTGTGGTAGCATGAAGCCCGCGGGGCGCGTCCACAGAATCATAAATTTTCAATAAGTTGAAGATCACAAAGGAGAAACATTGGGTAGGAAAATTGAGTCGTGTTTGATTGAGTGGAACATTGATAGCATATTCACCTTAACAGTTAATAATGCTAGTTCTAATAATCTTACCATTCAATATTTGAAAGTAATAACCAAAGATTAGAATGAGACTATTTTGCAACATGAGTTTATTCACATACGTTGTTGTGCACATATTTTTAATCTCGTTGTGAGTGATGGGTTGAAAGAAATGGACGATTCTATTGCCAACATTAGACTTGCGGTGAGATATGTGAGGTCTTCTTCTCATAGGCATGATGCTTTTAAGAAGTTTACAGCCACACTCAAACTTGATTCAAAAGCTCTTATATGCCTAGATGTACTAACTAGGTGGAACTCTACCTATTTGATGTTGGAGGCTGCTGAAAAGTATGAGAAGGCTTTTAACCGCTTGAAGTTTGTGGATTCCAATTTTGAACCTTATTTCAAGGGTGTTGATGGTGGCATAAGGAGAAGTCCTAATGAGTTGGATTGGAAAAAATATAGATTGTTTTTGAGGTTTGTAAAATTATTTTATCTTACAACTAAGAAGTTTTTGGGGTCTCTCTTTGTGACTTCCAATGCTTTTTACAAAGAAATATTTGTTATTGAAAGCAAAATTAACCAATTAATTTTGGAGAAGGATGATACTTTGAGCACAATGGCAAAGATTATGAAACAAAAGTTTAGCAAGTATAGAGGGGATGGAAGTAAGATCAATTTGTTATTGTATGTTGCGGTTGTTTTTGATCTTACCAAAAAAATGGCATACTTGTAGTTTTGCTTTTCAAATTTATTTCTTGGAGATAATAAGAAGGTGGAAGATATGGTAGACAAGGTTAAGGGTTGTTTAAGTCGTTTGTATAGTCATTATGTCACATTTTATCCTTCAAATAAGAAACTTCGAAGTGTGAGTGAAGTTGTGAATATGGTGGAAGATGATGATAATGATCCTTATTCTTTGGTTAACTCCCAATTTAATTCCTATTTGGAGGGGCAATGCACTAGTGGATCTAAGTCGAAATTGGAACAATATTTGTCCGAGGTTGAACATTTTGCAAAGAATCAAACATTTGAGATTTTGGCTTATTGGAAGGTGAATGCAACCAGATATAGAGTGCTACCGCAACTTGCAAGGGATGTGTTGGCCATGCCTATTCCTACCATTGCGTCGGAGTCAGCTTTTAGTATCGGGGGAGCGTATTCTTGACCCATTTCGTAGTTCACTCTCGCCTTCTATGGTTGAAGCTCTTGTATGTACTCAAAATTGGCTTCGAAGCAACCTTCCAATTTCTCTTCGAAAGACAATAGATGATGTAGAGGAATTTGAGCAATATGACTCGGGTAATATGAGAATTTATTTATCTTCATTTTTATTTGTATTGTTCATTTTCTAAAGTAAGTTTTATTGATCTTCTCTTGTTGACTCTTAATTAAGTACTTTGGAGTCAAGCTCATCTTCAAGTTCAACCTATAATGTTGATGCTAATACCATAATTGAACTCTAATCCATTTGCTCATTGGTAAATTTACTAGAAGAATTGAATTCTTATATATTTCTTATAAGAACAGAGCACACCTTTATATAAGAGGAGGTGTGCTCAATAAGGAAGAGATACAATCAGTCAATAAGGAATGATACACCATATATTCTAAGTATGGTATACATAAAGAAGGTAACAATATTATGCTATGTAAGGACCTTGACTCACGCCAACACTCCCTCTTAAGTTGGTGCGTAGATATCTTCTATACCTAACTGTAGACCGCCCGAGAACTCCCGGCTCCGCGCCCGAGGGCTCGAATTCGTTTGTTCTTAGCTACTACAAGTTCGGACTCAATGTCACGGTTCTGAATCTAATCTCACAAAGTGCAATGTTAGACCGATAAATCACCAAAGAGTCCAAATCCGACAAATCGTTTTGGAAAACTGATTTTTTTAAAGAAGTGTCAAACATGGACTGCTTTCGCCAGATATAGGGTCGCCACCTAAATGTTTTATTTTGGGGAAATTTAGGAAACCCTGACTCGTGCCTAAGGCCACATGTCCGTCATCACCAAAGTTGCCTCGGCTCGGGAACTTGGGTACGAGAGGGGAAGGTCATGCAATGAGCACCCCCACTCGCCCGATCAAGGATCAGCCTTTACTAACATGATATGTTGTTTTTTTTGAAAACACATGCGTTCTTATTCCGATTATTAACCTAGAACTACTATGTGATGCGCATAACATACAAGTATAGACTAGATCACCTAAGTTAGAACAAAACTTGCATGTTTGTTTGTGAAAATGATTTAGAGGATGCTACTCGCAAGTAGGCTAAATCAAGGATTTTGATGAATTGTTCCAATTCAAACAATCCAACCTTCACCCACAGGCATTCAAGCAGTTAAACACTTAAGCAGTTAGCTTCATGGCAAGCATGCTAACATGGCAACATTTGCACACATGCAGTATGCTAAAGCGTAAACACTCACAGTGTACTCTGAGCCAAAATAAAGAACTAGTTAGAAATCATGCATGATCCTAGTTCATGTTAAGATGGCTAATGCAGCACATGCAAAAATGCAGCTAAGATAGACTCGATTATCCTAAGATGTCATGCGAGATGCAACTTGATAACATGCTGTTGAACACGTATTCAAGTAAATGTATTGAAATACAATGCAGTTAGTATGATGCGCCGAGCCCGGTGCATGCAATACAGATGAATGAATGCACGGATGCGAAGCATAAGGTATGCTAAACAAAATATGCCCTAAAACTAACCACTGAAAGTAGGTAAGTAAAAGGGAGAAAGAAATAGGGGTTGGAAGACATGCATCGCACACACGCACGCTTATTACAACAGTTATGCCCTCTCAACGGAAGGTCCGAATAAGAAGCTAACTATCTAATCTAAGCTAATTAAACTAATTATTACATCACAAAACTAATTAACTAACAAGCTAACTAATTATTACAAAACAAGCTAATTAACTAATAAGTTAACTAACTAGTTATTACAACCCAAATAAGCAGCTAAATGCATTAACTACTTAAGTACAAAACCAAAGCATAAACTAGCTAAGGAAAATAGTAAACAGAGGTCCTCGGGATAAGGAGTGCATGCATGCTCGGTCGCCTCGTTCGGAAATCCGTCGCGATGCCCCAACTTGCCTCTATTCTCATTTGTTCTCAGAACTTTGCACCAAGCTCCAGATAGCTTCTAACTTACCTTGGGGACCTGTAGGAGCATGGCTGACCACCTAGGGGTGTTGCCAGCCATTGGCCGACCACTTTTCATTGCTGCAGACCAGAAAAAGTGGTCGGCCAGCTAGTTTTTCTGGCTGGCCGACCAGTTGTTGCTGCATTTCCCAGTTTGCTGCAACAGAGAGCAAGAAAGGGCATGGCAGTGTATTTGCAAGATATGTGTGCACAACCACCCTCCCTATCATTTCATAAGCTCAAGGGAGTATGGTTCTCAACCCTCGGGCCACCAATCACGCATCTCGATGCATGATGGCCGAGAAGCCAAATTGCACAATTCAATGTAAAATGAATGCACAAATAAACACATAAATGCCTTTAACTCTATCATGTGTTTAGATGTCCCCGAACGTCCCGAGAGGGAGATCCCCCCCGTTTTGTTCGTATGGGCTCACTACAGTTCAGGACTCAAAATGTCACGGTCCTGTATCTAATCTCGCAAAGTGCAATGCAAGACCGATGAATCATCAAAGAGTCCAAATCCGGCAAATCGTTTTTGAAAATAGATTTTTTTGAAAGAAGTGCCAAACATGGACTGCTTTGCCAGATACAGAGTCGCCACCTAAATATTTTATTTTGGGGAATTTAGGAAACCCTGACTCGTTTGCCTAAGGCCACGTGTCCGTCATCACCAAAGTTGCCTCGGCTCGGGAACTTGGGTACGATTGGGGAAGGTCACTTCGTGAGCACCCCCGCTCGCCCAATCGAAGATCGGCCTCTACTAACCATGATATCTAGTTTTGAAAACATTATGCATTCTTATTCCGGTTATTAGCCTAGATTTATTACGTGATGCGCACAGTAAACAAGTATAGACCGGATCGCCTGAATTGGAACAAAACATTTCATGTTTGTTTTTGAAAGCGGTTTGCTACTCGCAAGTAAGCTTAAAATGCAGATTTTGCCACCCTCGGGTGGGCTTAGAAAAGATGGTTTTGCCACTAGCTAGTGGGCTTAAAACTCACAGTCAATGCATTATTCCAATTCAGATAATCCAACCTTCACCCACAGGCATTCAGGCAGGTATATCACATAAGCAAATAGCCTCATGGTAAGCATGCTATCATGGCAGTCACTCATACACATGCAAGGATGCTAAAGCATAAACACTTAATGAGTACTCCAAGCCAAAACAAGAACTAGTTAGAAATCAATGCATGATCCTAACTCTACAGAAATGCCTAATACAACACATGCAGAGATGCAACTACAATAGGCTTGGCTATTCTAAGATGGCATATGATGATGCTACAGCTAACACGTATTCAATTTGGAATTGAAATACAAATGCAGTTAGTATGATGCGCCAAGCTCGGTGCATGCAAGACAGATGAATGATGCAAACATGCAAGCATAAGTATGCTAATTGAAACATGCCCTAATCTAACCATCATAAGCTGGTAAATAAAAGGGAGAAAGAAGTGGGGGTTGGAAGACATACATCACACACACGCACACTTATTACAACATTGCCCCTCCTCGAGGGGGTCCGAATAAATAATACAGTCCGAATAAATAATTATAGTCCGAATAAATGATTAAATATTACCAAAGCCCTAATTAATTAACAAATTAACTAGGAAAGCAAATAAACTAGCATGCAAATTCATGGACCGCCTCAGCTCTGTTCCGAATGATGAAAGATGCATGCTCGAGTCGCCTTCGTCGGAAAATTATGGATGCATGCATGCTCGATGTGCTTTGTCGGTAAATTCCATTGCGATGCCTCGTCTCGCCTTTGTTTGCAGCTGATTTCAGAAACTTACACAAAGCTCCAGAAGGCTGAAACTCCACCTTGGGAAAGCCACCGACCAGGTATTGGCTTGGAAAACCCTTGTCGACCACCCCTTATGGTGGAAACCAAAAAAGGTGGTTGGCCTACCAAGAAACCTGGTCGGTCGACCACTTTCTGCCCCTGGACTTTGGTTTTTCTGCAACAAAGGCAAGAAGGAGAGAAAGCAAGGTATTTTCAACATATGTGTGTGCGATCACTCCTTCCCATCCTTGCACAAGTTCTAAGGAGTGTGGCCCTCGGTCCTTGGGCCATCAACCACGCATCTCAATGTATGATGGCCGAGGAGTTGAATTGCACGTTTTAATGTGACATGAATGCACAAATATACACTTAAGGCCTAACCTCCATCATGGGAAATTCGGAATGTTGGCGACCGAAAATCGAGGCACGTTTCGTCACTTGGAGTACGAAACGTCCCTCGTTTCCCATGCTTGGACTAAACCCTACTCCAAGCATAATGCAACAAGCAATGCATGGCACGTGCAAATGCGACTAGCATGCAATCCTAAGTGTAATGCAACCAAGTGATGCAAGCATGCAAGGGATAAAATGCAAACATGCACCTAGCATATATAATGCTAACACTACATGGCATGCGCAATGCTCGTGAACTAAGGCATACTCAATGCGACTATCAACCTAGCATACACAATGCGAGGAATGACATATCATGGCATGCACAATGCTCCTAACAACCTAGCATACGCAATGCAAAGGCTAAACATGCAACTACATGAACTACATGGCATGCTCGATGCAAGATGGACTTATACCAATGTGAGTGGACCTCAGCCACACTTACATCAGTGGCCATGTGTAGACACCCCATTTTGACCGTTCTCGAGACTTGGTTATGCTTGCAGGTACACCCAACAACTAGTTCAATTGCTCGCTGAGTGCTCGACTGTCGCGGCGGAACGTCACCGGTTCGAGCTTCCCGGACCCTATATCCTTTCTGTCTTTTTTTGGGGACCTTGGCTAGGTCCTCTCTTAGTGACCTTCTTGGTGCACTGCCGGCCATGGCATGGAATTGCCAGCCATTGCCTTGTCCCTACCGGCCATTGGTGATGCCCTGCTGGCCATCAGTGAGCCACTGCCGGCCATTGATGATGGTCGGCACCTCCCCTGTCTCAGCTGGTTTTCCTCCAGATCTTTTGAGCCAGCT